CCGACTAAGGAATGTCAGTTGCTATCATTACAAACTTAAGAAAATACAACATGTAGCCAAGCACGAATGTTCTTAATTTTAATTAATTTACCCGCTGCATTTGAACACACAAATAAGCAGTATAGTCTTTGCAGCGAAGCCGACCTGCGAAAACTGCGTTTGGTCGTTCTGAGAATGTGGGAGCGATTTCGATCACTTCTAGAGAAGATACAACAAAAAAGGGGGAAATCGCATCAAGCCAATTGAAAGTTCATATGATTGGCAGCAATAATAAAAAATATTGAACAAAACAAAAAATGGCCTTTTCGATAAAGTGGGTTCAAAATATCAGTTAATTTTATTTTTGGCGATATTTCAAATTGTATATAAAAAATTCAGTGAAAATAAAATAAACTAAACTTATGCCCGTCGATAGCCCATGTATAGGGCTACACTCTTATAGTATTTGGTAAGCGACAAATATAATGACTCATGAGTTACAAGGCTCTGAAGATGTCGCCGGATATTCGAAGAGACAATGTTTGTCACTTTATACCTCAATAAACAAAAATAGAAAAGTATTTCTTTTGAACTAAAAAATAGTCGAAATAACATACAATATCACAAAAAATTACTGCGAGTTTTGTATGCTTTCCATATCCATACCAGCATACAGAACTGTGTAGAAAAATCGTGGAGTAAAAAACAGATTTTCAACCTGATTTTCACTCAAAATATTTTTGTGAAGCGAAATTTTTTTTTTGTTTTAATTTTGAAAAGCGGTTTTGTTCTTTCGAGAAATGGGGCAATTACATATATTAAAAAAAAAAAAAAAATCGAAAGACCCACCTTGACAAGCGTGTTCGATTTCAAATGAAACCACCCATTAATTGGGTAGTCTTTCGACACCGTAATTAATTGCCTGGCAAAAAAAATTAAAAAACATTTTTGGGGGGTGTTAGTGTCCCTTTAAAACACAACTCCTGAATGCTTAGAACTTTGTGAGTGACATTCAAAATGTTTTAACCATGCAAATACAAACTTTGGCTTGATTCGAAAGTTTCGAAGGTTTGCGATTCGAAACCTTGAGTGATTACCAAAATATTCCGTGTCTAACGTTTGGAAACGGTAAACTCAGAAATTAAATTATCCCGCGTGTTACCTTGAGGAAAGGCACATTGCTGGTACCTCTATACTCCGTGTCACTAGATGCGTGCAGTACAGGTGAAGGCGACGTCAGGCGAGGGGAGAAAGGGCAAGCACTAGAAAGGCTGGGGAGGAGAAGAGAACCCTTCTCGCTTAATGTTCCTAATGCTCACCCTTTCTTCACTTGCCCTCCAATGCCATCCTCTCTCGTCCAACCGGGAGAGGGGGGCAATGGCGTTGCCTCCGTCTGCAACTCACAGAGGTAGGGCGTGGAAAAGGAAGGCCGGGGAGAGAGAAGCATGCGGAATGCTGGAGAGGTCTGCTTCCTCCTCCCCTGTCTTGCTTTCCCTTGCCCTACCTTCTTGAGTTGCAGTGGGCTATGGTAAGAAGTTTGTCTGGTTCCTTTTACCCATGTCTTTAACTATATGGTATTCACGGAGCCTGCAGGTTCGATTTTGCCAGGGAGTGCCACCAATTAACCGCTATCTTCAAGAATTTTGTTTTGTGACTGTCGCGCGGTTTGGTTGGCTTGGGTGTGCGGTTGTCTATTGGTCATGTGTGTTAATTTCATATCGTTGAAGAAGTTGATTGAGCAGAAGAGAAAAACAAATCGATCTTGGAGGCGGCCCGTTTTAATTTCCTTGCTGCCTCCAAGTGCCGTGTGCATTCGTTTGAGCGATGGCGAGCTGCATGGTTGTAGGGTGCTCTAACTACAGTGGAAAAAGCCTATCGACGAAAAATTTGCAAAAGTTAACTTCTTTCTCATCCCAAAAGTGATGACTAACCACTTTGAAGGCCTGTCCAGGCAGGATACTTCAGAAATCATCAGGCAATACGACTCCAACATAAGTCGTGCGGCAGTCCACTTCCCTCCGTTTTTTTTTTTTTTTGCCAGGGGGAAGTTCTCTTTGTCAAAGTTTGCCCGTGTCCTCCACGGGTGCCTTGAGCATGCTCATCACGGGGGTCTGGACAGCCACTCACAAGCTCTGTTGGCTGTTGGTCAATCGATCAAGGCCTCACTGTTCTTCTGGTCTTGAAAACGGGAAAGAGAAGGGCTGTGCTCAATATCTTAACCAAATAAATCCGATCTACTCTGGAGGGTCGTGTCACATGATAATATAGAGAGAGTGACGCCAGACGCGGGTAGGCTTTCAAACGCAAATATACAGAACCCTTACCCTTGAGTAAGATAGAGTAAATTTTGGAACACGGCCAAGGATACCTCGATATGAGTGCCCGGCAGAATACATGGACAGCATTGCCAGGGGCCGTGTGACGTCAAGTCTGACGAGCACCGAGGTCACCGAAAAGTGGAGGAAGCGAAGAGGAAATTCAGGACGTTTGCTTGGTGGTGTTCAAACCAACATTGAACTGCCAGACTGCTGGACACTTCACCTTCCACAATTTTCGACGGAGTTGTGTCGCGGCACAATTTCTGAAGTGTCCTGTCTGGACAGGCCTTAAGAGGGCAGCAGCCTTAACTTCAAGGAGAGGGGCCACTCGCTAATAAAAAATGCAGCGCATTTTGCTATAGCGGCGCACATGGTGAGCTTTGTGTTATGTTCTTGCACAGGAACTAACACCGTAGGTATGATGTACAATATGGAGGCGTTGGAGGAACACAGTCACATGGCCAAAGGGGAAAAAGTCTGCTAGAGACAAAGAAAAAAAAATCTAGCAAAACAAAACTAAAAGTAATCACGCCGTGCTACAAAAGCACAGAAGTAGAAAAATCACAGTTCTTTGCACAAGAGCTACCGCCGTGGGTACGGCGCGCGGCACGAAGCGCTGCACGGAACCGGTGGAGCAACACAGCCGCTGTGGGCAAGTCCACTAGCGAAAAAAACAAACAAACAACACAAAAGATATTCCTACTGTGCTTCAAAAGCACCGGAGTATAAAAATAGCCCCTAGTTTCGCCCCAAAAGACCGTTTAAAGTTGTAAAATGCTGCTAAACCGCGCTGAAAAGTCCGGCCAGACGACAGCCAACAGCTACATGGGATGGAAAGTGACCTCAAAGATGGCGACTGTTGTAGTCGATGCCAGCACATCTAGTGAATGACGTCAAGCAAATATCAACTATGGTGTGCCTCCAAATTCCCCAGTTATCCTACTTATATCAAGAACTCAACAGGTACATGTTAAAGTTGCTGGGACATTGATTTTCTTGATGTTCCAGTATTGTACGGTGTCACGCGAGTTAAGAATTTTTAACTGATTAATCAATGACCTTTAACCCATTAACTCAGTGGTTCTCAAATGGGGGTCCGCAAAAGCATTGTAGGGGTCCCTGAAGCCTTGACTTACCACTCAAGCCCGGCAACAAAAGTTGTCTATTTTTCAACTTGAGAAGAGACGTTCCAATATTCTGGTGAGTTTTCTCGTGTCTATGTCAATGAGAGAAGTCTACTTCACACTAGCCCTTCTTTATATCTATTTATCCACTCTGTTGTGGCGGCACAACACACTCAATACGCACGGGGTCCTCCATCATCTGTGTCGGTCCACAAGGGGTCCACGAAACATGAATACTGCTTTAACTCATTGGTTAATCAATCTATTGGTGAGTCTTAAGGAATTGTTAAACTAGTGTGAAATTTTAAGATTTGAGAGGTTCTAAGATCTAGGGCCGCTTGCTAGAAAGAATATGACATTGTTTTGACTCAATTCTTGACTCAAGCGTCAAGTGGTCTCGGCTGAGACCAAGATGAGATCGGTGCGGTCTTAACCCTGTCCAGACTTGGGTCCGGTCCCAGGAATAAATTGAGCAGGACCGAGAGAGGGAATCTATGAAAAAATTAAGAAATACTGGAGAAAACGAAGAAATCGGACATGGGAGTGACGCATTGCGACCTCCTGTTCAATGAGAAAGCGAACGAGAGATGCGCCCGGCAATGTGATATGGCACGCGAGAAAGCGTCTACTTCTGCTACTCTGCAGTTGGTTTGGGCAGCGACAAAGGACGACGGTCATAGTACAGCATTACATAATTCGTGCAAGCCTTGGTTATATGCAAAAGAAGACAGTGGGTACCGTTTCCGTGAAGTGTTCTGCCCTCAAACGCTGCCCTATTGCTTCGTTCCGCCATCGTCTGTTACCACCGCCATTGATGTCCAGCACATATGCTGAGTAAAGGTGTCTACAGAAATGTCTGTGTGTCCTCAGATGCCTTTTTTTTAAGAAAAAGATAGCACTTGATGTCTTTTCTTTCAGTACCGGTTGCAGTAAAAGTTTGATTTTTTTTCAGGCATTAAGTCAGTAGACAGCCGTCTGCATTTGCTATTGCTGCGTGCAGTCATGGATCCCCTCCAAAGTAAAGAATGTCATTTGGTGTGAAGATAAAAGAGAGAGAAGATCTATGTTTATTTTAACACGCCTAGTCCGGCACTCCATGAAAATGAAAGGTTTTGATTGGTGTGTGAAATTGAGAAAGGCAAATGCGTAATTCGAAATAAATTGAGCAAGATTACGAAAGTTTCTCAGAGCAGCATGGCAGGAGATCGTATCCATGCTGAACTTGCGCCATCCATCGATGCTACGCGCAGTGCCACAGTTTAAAAAAAAAACAGCTGCAGAACTCGAAATCTAGCAGCCGCACAGAGTTGACGCTTTCTACGAAGGCACACTCCATGACTGGTGAGTTTATTATTATGCATTTGTCTATACTACACACAAAAAAGAAGCGCACATCCTGTGTGCTGAAGCAATTTTGTTCACTTTCTCAATTTATTGGCTAAATTACAAAAGTAGTCATGAGCTTTGGATTTTAACATTTTACTACAGTCAAGTCAATACAATGGATGCTCTTGCTGCAATCAGACAAAATCCAATGTCCCAACGAAATATAAAAAGTGCCTCGTTTTTTTTTTTACAGGTGCTGAGTGCAACGACCACCCCTAACACCGCTGGCTGAAGCTGTGCTGGTGGCTGCTGGTGCTACAAGCCTGAAACTTTTGAGCATAGATTGGGGCATCGACACTGACCAGCGAGCACTGTCATGTATGTTAATGCTTTTTCTACAGTTATACTAGAATGCATAACCTGTCATTTGATGCAGGCATGTCTAGCCTCTTGAGGTTTGCACAATTGCAATGGTTCTCTTGTACCATAGTACTCATAATTATGTCTTGGGGACACAAATCTTAAATACTGGGCCCACTCGAGGAAACATTCTGGTGTCTTCTCTCCAGAGCAAGAAGGAACCGTGCACATCCAAGAACATTGAAGCATTTAGCCATGTTTCTTGGAAGCTAAAGAGATGGTGCAACAATTTTAATGTTGGAAAAATGTGCAGTTTCATAATTTACATTGTTTATCTAGGCACAAGTGACAAAAAGCATGTCACCTTGCCCCAAAAAGCTACTACAGTGCAATCAACTTATGATGATAATGAGAAAAACCGAAAATTGGATCATTATAACCAAGTATTGTTGTACCTGGACTAGAAGCTGACATTTCTAGTCATGCAACTCTAGTAACTGATAGTTACAAGCAGTACGTTGTTATATCTGGTATCGTTATAAGTGGATTGCACTGTATTCCGCCGCGTAATTGTGAAGGACAAAAACAATTATGTGCTGATCTGCAGTCGCGTGTGAAGGTTACGGGAACTACGGTGGCAATTCGTTGGGGAGCACGGGGAAGTCAACAAAACCTGTCCCCCTCCGCTGCTACACTTGCCGTCAGCCCCGTGGCAAACCATCTTTTGTGTTGATCACTCGCCACGACCTTCGGCAACGCTTATTCTTGAAAGTCGACAGTCACGGAGGAAGCAGCTGGGGTCTCTGAAGAGAGAACCCAGAAGGAAACCAGGGCCCGTTTGCTCGAAGTGCTAACCGTAGCTTAAGTTAGCCGCAGTACTTAGGAGAGGGATTTTGAAATCACGTGACTGGGCTTGGTAGGGATGCGGGGAAAAATGGCAGTGCCCCGGTAAGTGAGTGCCGCTCGCTTTGGAACTAATATGTCGTTGTAGCTGCAATATCAGGCACGTTAGTCAGCAACGAAAGGGTGCAGGAGGCTTTCACTTTCTTTGCCTTACCTCCCTTAAATCGCAAAGCGTGAGCAATGACCTCGCCACATTTTTTAGATAGTCTTTCGATTCTGGCCATTCCTAAGCCTAAATGAACGTGATAATTGTCGGCATGGCAACGTCTTTGGAAAGTGGATTGCTCTGACTCAATCGGCCGGGTATTGATAGCACACAAAAGCAGACAGCGTCCCAATAGACCTTTTTCTTAATTATTGCATATTAATTTTAAAGCGAGTGTCACTCACTCACCGGGGCACCGCCATGTTTCCCCGCATCCCTACCGAGCCAGTCACGTGATTTCGAAATCCCTCTCCTATTTGCTGCGGCTAACTTTAGCTGCGGTTAGCACTTTGAGCAAACGGGTCCATGTGGTCCGCCAGAATATGTCTCTTGAAAGACAACAATTTGTTTTATTTTTGTAAATAAAAACATTAGTGCGCGCAAGAAATTATGGTTTTCTGTTTGTTCTATGAGTGACACAGATTAGTTCCCGCAGTTAATTGGACAAAGTTAGAAAATCGTCGCACCGCCCCTTTATTACACACTGTTAGACCACTGCGAGTCACAGAAGTGACGAGGAAATAGGAGACAACACCTTTCCAGCCGTGTTTTGTGAATGTCGGTTGGCCAGAGAAACAAATGGAGATGCGAGATGGCAGTGAAATACAGTAGTATAAAAATTTGGCTTTATGTGAGGATGGCAACAGAGGTGCAACACAGCACAAACAAGCAAGCTCTGGTTTTTCCTGTTTGTATCTTAAAGTTGAAAGGCTCTCATTAAAACGACCATAGCGAGGGTGGCCAAACTGCGGCTCACGAGCCGCATGCGGCTCTTTGCAGGTCCTAGTGTGGCTCGTGGCTCCCTGATAAGTGATCTCCCCTTTCGTGTCCCCAAGACGAAAATAGTTCTAGAATAAAAAAAAGCTCACAGCATTTGCAGCCTTGTACTACACTTCGTATATACAGCTGGACTGCTTTTTGAAATATAGATATGTCCAGTGATCCTGTTTTCTTTATTGTTCTCGAAAGAATTTCAAACCGTATACATATAACAGGCGCCAGGGCAGTGGCTGGCTAGTGAACCATGCATTATTTCGTGCTTAGCGGTTGAAAAAAAAAAATGTTCTGCTGCCTGCTGTTATTTGCTGTAGTCCGCAATTATAAATGTTCTCTCTAGAAGGGGCTGCTCCCTCGATATCGTTTCTTCTTAAAGGGCCCATGAAACAAATTTTGGGCTGGCATAAATCACTTTAGATTGGAAATTTACTAATAGCACATCGTTCAGTAGGCCAAAAAAGAAACGGTAGAAAGTCAAAAGCCTGACTTTCGGTGCAAAAATCTGAAAACACAGCGGACTATTTCGTACCTCCTCCCCTTCGTAAGCTCTTCCGCCTTTTCACTCTGATACATCCGCGGTTCCCAAAGCGCGTCACCGGGTCCAAACGCACGTCACACGATACCGGACCTCCCTTCTTCCCTTCACCCCTAAGCTGACATTGTGGTGGAAGCTATGCGCTCGCCCGACCAATCAGCCGCCTCCTTTTCATCACCTGACCTCATTCTCTGTGCGTGGGTATGCGCGAGAGAGCATGATCACGTGACAAAAGTATGGCTGGCCGAACGAGCACATAGCTTCCACAAGCCTGTCAGCTTCGGCGTGAACGGGGTGGGGAAAGCGACTTTTGTCTGAATTTGGAGCGACGGGCTAATCTTCTAGGGGGACAATGGCTCTGTCCGGGTATACAAACGAGATTCCAAACAAGAGGGGACTCCCCTCTTTTTGTCTTCTTGAACTGTTTGGTAGAATGTGCGATTTATAAGTTGAGGAGAAAAGCTAAACAGGAAAAAGTTGGAAAAGCGTTTTATGACCCCTCTAAAAGTACGCCTCCCCCCCTTCTTTTTTCTTCTTCGGCTCTTTGAACTTTTGTAGTTTTGTCTCCAGCTCAAGCCCCTGTCAAACTGGCCACCCTTGGACTATAGTATGATTCAAAAGCCCCGAGACTGCAGGTAACGACACATTGTAGTATGGTGGAGCATGCTCATTTAGGTCAGCAATGCAAGCAGTACATTTTTATGCTTGCCAACACCCTGTTTGATAAAAATGTGAAATAGCACGGGTATTTTGTCTGAACTAACTGTGTATAACTGCAAAAGTGTTAGAAATACAACAGCCCGTACCATGGAGGCTCACGGTGCCGCATTTAGTGATGGTGAATATGTGATAATGTAATATACAAAGTGAAAGTGATTGCGATCATGAGATATGTACAAGGGGAAGACGACGCAATCTTTTGAACATCACTAGCACCATTGGTCGAGTTTCGAAGATTCGGTAAAGGGAAAGGGAAACAGTAGCAGACTTAGGCTGGTGCATTGCTGAAATGCTAGAAGATATATTTTCAAAAATTTTTATGCAGTGCTAACAAGACAAAGGTGACTGTGTTTCCACTACACCACTATTCCAAAATATGCAGGCTAGAAGTTTATGAAGTCAAGCCGAAGCTAAGCAGCTAAACAAATGTGTTGTTTTATGTCGGAAAATCTACATCTACATAGATCCGAGCATCATAAGCACAACACTTGGACCTCATTTTTTTTGGGTCCATTGCATTGAGATGCCAACTCAATTGAATGCATGCACAAAGCTGAGACAGTCTCTTGCATAAAGTCATGTGTGAGATTAGTGCTTTCATATCTCATTCTATAGGTAGAATTCACTGGTGGCCATAGCTGAGCTCGATGCTGTTGAGCACATGCTGACTGCAAGCTTCCCCAACACTTCCAACATGCACATTGCTCACCATGAAGAATGTATTTTATGGAATAGAATAACATTTTTGGAAAACAACATCCTAAACAGAATGAACAGTATTTATAAATGAAAGGAAGAAAGTAAAAAGTCATTTTGAGCTTGCACATCCTCAGAAGTCAGCTTAAAAATGATGTCCAGTGAGTACCATTAAGCGCCGACCAGCAGACACTACCACTACATTTGGTATCACCCTGAGCACATCTGCTACAAAACATGGTAGTCTTTTGGTCTTTTGGAAAGAAACAAAATGACAAGCAACCAGAAAATGGGGTGGTCTGCATCAACACTGCACACTGGCTCCTTTTGAAGCCAGCTACTTTCATAACTAATAGCCGCAACAACTAACATCAGACTTGGCCTGCACACTGTAGACTGGCTGTACTCGAGCCGGTTATTTTCACAACAAATAGCCGCAATGTCTGAGAGCCGAGGAATTGAGCATGATCCACGTGCACGCAAAAGACTTGACTAAAAAACAAATAGGAGTGCCCTCAAACTATGTTCGTGGGTTACATGACAGACATTCTTGTTGATTGTTTCCAGGGCCAGCACAGCACCAGTCCACCCAGCAACCAACAAGGTGGGCCCGGAAGGTCGGGCCTTTAGCCATGAAGTCGAGGTGGCCGCTGGGGTATCCTTCCTTGAGGGGCTGAAGTTTGAGGGAACGGAAGACTGCAAGCCTCCAGACTTGCTGCTGGCCGAGGATGAGGTGCCCCTGGTGCATGGTGCAGCAGCTGCTCTGCCACGCCGGGAAGGGCCTCCGCCAATGTCAGAAGGACCGTCTGAAGAGACAGCTGCTGCTAAAGGGCGACTGGCACCACCGGGTCGGCGCCGGCAGGGGCCACCTCGTCCACAGCCAGCCTGGAGGACAAGCGCGTTGCCTGCAGGCTCTGCAGCCAGAAAACGGACTGTTGACAAGCTAACTTATCGTGATTTGCTTGCACGAAAAGAAGAGAACGTGAAGCTTGAGAGGCAATGCCTCCTTGCCCAACAGAAGGCATCAGAGGAGCAGCTGAGGGCGGCAAAGGCAACACGTGAAGCCGCTGAAGAAGTGCGAAAAACAGCTATTTTTTTTACAGAGCAGGGGAAAAGACTTTTTGCACTGCTTGGACAGGCTGCTCCACAAGAAAGTCCGTAAGGGGGGTTTTGTAAATATAATAAACACACTTTTTCTGGTGAGTGCTTTTCAATGTCCCCCCACTTTTGGTTTCTAGCACGCGCAATCCTTCTGCTGCATTTGGTTTGGCAGCATGCAAAATTAAAGACATGGTGGTTTCATGAAAAGGAAGTAATTACGTTTACATGCTTGGCCAAGCAACAGCCAATGTCACTACCGTATGAACATGTGTAAGGGCCGCACTCCAAGGAAAAACGTTTGCCTTCCGCACCACCGCATCTGTACGGGCTCGTGCAATGTCGCCGCCGGCGTGGCATGCACTCCGCACCAATGCTTTTCTTCTCTTGGGGCTCCTTACAATCTTCTCCCTTCTTGCTGGCTTTTGCCAAAGTTGCTCGAGGCACCTTGAGCCATAACCCCTGCACATTCGTCTTCTTTTTGCCTCTGAGCAGGTTGCATCCACCATTTACTGATGTCGAAGCCGAGTAAGAGTGAAAAAATGAAAGAAAGTACAAAATGCAGGTGCAAAATGGCAGTGCAGTGGCTCAAAGGTTCATACACGCAGTTTTGTTTCAGTGCGTCTTTTTGCATCGAGAAGCAGCCACGCGAGAAGCAGCCATGAGTCACCGGGTCGCCCAGGGTTCATATAAAATGCACCAATTCATTTACTGATCGCGCAACATAAAGTAGATATGTCCTGGTTCCTCGCAGTCAAACGCAAATGTCTGGATGGGCATTGATGCAAAACTGCCACTCAGGAATGTGCTTCCATGGAGCGAACAATTCTGCAAGAATGACAAGTTTCAGATTTAAGATCAGGACTCAGCTTGTGCATGTATGGCTGTCCAGGTGTAGTGAAATGCTTCCGTTCCCTCTGCATTTCGAAATAGATTCAAACTCCAGGAAGCCACAAATTTTGTCTGAATTATTGGAAGGCTAAATTATCAGAACTTTGTCTAGATATGATGCAAGTCAAAATTATGATTTGCCATATGAATGGCTACAGGTACAAAACAGATAATTGATGATATCCTCTACACAGGCCTACTGATCATAAGCAGGTATGCCACAAATAAAACATTTTTGAAGTGTATGACATAAGTTTATCTCTTAAAAATGTTGTTTACTGGGGACTGTTTAACCCTCTAATGCCCAAAGATTTGTGCAACATTGAAAACATGCAGTAAATATGATTTCATGCTCAAAATACGTGCCCAGTTTCACCGAAAGCAATTTTTATTTTATTTGCACATTATTTTCCCATGATACAGCTCGTATCATCAATGATACTGTGGGCATTACTCCCAAAACAATAATGGCATTTTCACATGTGGTAGGCAACAAAGCAATTACGATCTTTTGTGTAGCATAGGTTTACGTTACACTTGCAACAGTAGGTGTAGGAAAAGCTGTTCTGTGCTGGCGGACAAGACTTGCATCGCAGCCTGCTGCTGCCCCAGATGGGCATGTGACCGACACCATCCAGTCGCACATCATCCTGGGGAGCACTTCCACCGACTTTGCGCTTCTTCACAGGCTGAGTCACTGAAGATGTTGGCCGCTTGACTGGTTTCTTTCCCACCGCGATAAGGGACTCCGCGATGCTTGCCTGAAATCGCCGGAGGTTGACAGGCTTCTCGTTCAACTGGGAGCAGTGACGCCGGTACAGAAGCCAAGCATTCACTGTAGCAATCATCAGGCTGTGATAAAATAGGTAAAGTCTCGCAGATGGTATATCTGCGAGACTTTATGGGGAACTTGTAAAGTTCAATCAAGTAGTTGAGGAGATTCACACCTCCCATGAAGCGGTTGTATGTCGCTACAATTCCTGGCTGTGGAACTTGGATGAACTTCTTTTCTTTCTTGTCCCACCTTCGCACAGTTCCGACTGGTTCAGCGGACACATAGTTGGAGACAAGTGTCACGGCTCTATTATCATACCACCTTACAACCGCTATATTCTTTAGATTGTCGACCGCATAATCGAACGCACCACGTCCCTCCTTTTTCAGGTCGTTTTCTGACTTTAGTCGGCAGTCCTTTAGCCGATTTCTTCTGATCGTTCCTACGAACCCCAGACCTCTCTTCGACAACTCAGTCGCAAGATCTAAGCTGGTGAAGTAATTGTCGGCAGCTATTTTGAAACCCTTCTGCTGTGGAAGAAACTCGCACATCCTAAGCGTGACGTCACCACCCAACCCAAACAGGTAGTGTTGTTTCGCTTGGCCTTGGTAGACGTCGAACTGATACAAAAAACCAGACGAGCCAGCGCGACCCCAAAGCTTTATGCCCCAGGGGTTGGGTTTCGCGGGCATGTATTGCTTCATAGGGCACCTCCCAGTGAAGGAAATCATCATTTCGTCCACACTGTTCAGTTCTTGCTCGACTGACTGGAGGTTTTCTTGTAGTGAATTTAACCACGTTCGAATTTTCCAAGCTTTGTCACGTTTTGTGTCTTCTGTGGCTTGATGGTTGTCAGTGAAGTGTATCAGTCTCATCAGCTTCTCAAATCTGTTCCGTGGCATCACATCAGCGACCACGGGAAACCTCGTCCCATTTTCCCAGTAACATCGCACACTGGGCATTTGCACAAGTCCCATCATCAGGTATATCCCGATGTATTGCTCCAGTTCAGCTTCTGTGACGTTCAGTGAATGTCCAGTAGACTGAGTACTGTACAGGTTAGTCTCTTCAGCGAGGGATGTGATGATTTCCGTACTTATAAACTTCCGGAAGTAGGTCAGAGCTGGTTCAATCGTCACTGGCATGGTAAAAGCTTCGCTGAACGTTGGAATGGCACAGTCCAGCAGGTTCCTCCTCCAATGGCCTCTGTCAATGGAGCCTGTGCCGCAGTGTGAGCCGCTGCTAGAGTCCATTTCATCATCGGAAGAGTCATCTCCAGAAGGCTCGGCAGGATCAGGAGGGGTACTTCTAGTGTCTAAAATGTATTCTGTGTCACCATCGTCACTCAAATCTCCAAAGTCACTCTCGTCGCCCGATGGCATGCAGCTGAGAATGTCTCGGGGTGACTGGGCTGCAAAAAAATAATTCACAGTTCATGTAGTGGCGCCAAAGTATAATTCGTAGCATATCTGATACGAGCGTCGGTGACTATATCAAATGCCCAAAGTAGCACTCGTGATACGCAAGATATATTATGTTTTCTTTCTCGCCACTTAGATATATACGCAGTTAAAAGTGGTGCAGAGGCTTCAGGAACTGTCCTAGCTTACAAAACACACAAAAAAACGACGATCTTACCTTTATTTTTTGAAGATCGGCCGTAGAACGTCCGCGTTCTAATCGCCATACCGCTGCAGCTCGGCTCCGCCATTTTCAAATACGCCGTGAAGCCCCCTCGTGGGCAATACTTGAACTACAAATACGCGAAAACTTGGGAAATATGTATCATCAGCGATACACTGGGCATTGGTTCGTTAGGAATGCAAACCGAAACTTATTTTAATTTGAGAAGTTGTCGTAGCGCGCATGATACGGTGGGCATTAGAGGGTTAAACGGCACTTGACAACTAAACAAAATTAAGCTTGCTCGTCAGGCCATGCTGTCTAATGTGGATTATTAACGGAACACGAGCGATGAAAACGGGCATTGCGCGGCAGCTTTCATGGCAATTTGTGCGAACGCTGTGACGTGGATCTGTACCATGCAGTCACTTTACAGCGTCCGCGCAAGTTGCTATGGAAATTCTCGCCTGGTGCCCATTTTCATAAGCTCGTGTGCCCTACTTGAGACCCGTTGAGTGCGCTTCTCACCGAGCACCGGTGCATTGCGGAGAAGCAACAACCGCGGAAGCAAGCTCCGTGTGTGTAGCCTCTCTGCAGTGCACCAGTGCTCGGAAAGAAGCGCACTCAACGGGGCTGTGAGAACGAAAAACATAAATTACACGAAAACGGCATTTGAAGTAAGTGGCTTATAAATACATTAAAAACATAGCGGGACAACCAACATTTTGAGATGTGTTTAAATTACGCAGAAGTGTGAAATATTCGAGTTTGAATTATAGCGAGCCTACAGTGCAGGTGTTTTGACTGGTGAATTTGATCACAAGTACACTAAGTATGAGATGCACTAATTTATATATATTTAATCACTATGGTTGCCCATATCTTAAAAAATTATTTTGGAACAAAAGACTGCCCTCCTTACACGAGTTTATCAGGCATATACTTGCGTTTGCAGGCTTGAAGTTCACCACAAAAGTGTGTCGCTCACAATTGCACCTCACTGCGGGACCCTGTTGTCCGCTTCAGGTGGTGAGGGAGGCACGTGCACTTCTGGCGGGAGGGTGCAGTCGCCTTCCTTGCAGGTCCAGTGCTGTGCAATGTTGCACATCACACAGCATGCAACAGCAATGGTTCAGCAGCACTCGGGTAGCATCCTCAGCTCGGCTTGCAGGCAGTGGAAGTGGCTCTTGAGCTGCCCAATTGTCCTGTGATTGAAAATTTTTGTTCGGCCCTTGGGAGACCTTGGGCAACCCACGACGGGTTTAACTGTCACCCTTCTCCTATACCACGATAGAATAAACAGATTTAGGCCATGCCACTTACTGCTCTCGCCGGGGAGGAGGTGCGGACATATTGTGTTTGGAGCTAGCCTCGAACCAGAACTGGTTCGTTCCACGCCAACGTACAAAGTGTTTCGACTAGGAGGACCACAGTGAAATAGAACAGGCAGAAGAAGCCCACATTCGCGAACGGTCTGGTGATGCCACGGAGGTGAGCAGACCTCTGAGGAAAGAAATCTCTATGCTGATTTAATGGGAAGAGGTGCTTATATAATAGGGAAGAAGCGAATAGATGCACCCCCTTATTCGGGTGCCATCTATACACTTCAAGAGGAGTGCCAGGCGTGCCGAACATAATCTGGACGCTCCTTCAAATCGAGTTGCAGCACCTGAATGTGTTTCTTGCACCGTGTCTGATACGCAGACTAAAAAGAGGGTGCTACAGAAACAAAACTTCAGGTTAGGCTTGCAACATGTACAAAAACTCGCGTCTTCAAGCAAGGCGTGCACCCCTTGTGGAGTCGAGCATGCGTTGCGGGCTGTGGGTAACTGTGACTGCGACGAAACCAAAAGATCGACTAAAGATGTGCTCAAGCTTATAGCGAAAGTTATGCTATAACCTTACGACTCACACGACTATCAGTTGTCTGAAGTTGCGGATGTTCGAGAGGTGTAAACGCAACACATATATTGGAAGTAACAGGAAACCCACGGCGAGCTTGGGAACTCTCAACTTCTAAACCAGAGACTGATGAACTAAAAATGGTTCTGTATGCACGAGGGTTTGTACCAGACCCATGTATGCATCATCCCCCTTTTTGTTCCTTGTCTTGGATTTTCAAGACGTAGAATATATTAGTTTTTAACCTGGGCGTTTTAGATTCAAGTCCTGTGCAGCCTCCTGAGGTGTAACGCTGGTCAATAGACCATTAGAGAAATCGGTGCAGTTTCTGCCAGCACATGCAATCAAAGAATTAAGACGATCGAATCTATGACTGCCTCACTCGATCTACAGAATACCCAAATATAAATCATGGCAAATAAAAAAAATAGCAAAACGGCAACAGGTTGTTTTGCATGTGTTCAGATTTCTATTGCACTCCAATTTTACTTATAGACTAAAGTATGTACTATTGACTTCTTTTGTGTCATGTGCAGTTAAATCAATATAGGACTTTAATTGCCATGCTATATTCCTGTTCTTTTAATAGTAACAGAATTATAAAGTAATTAGTTAAAAATAGCCTGTATGTTTCAATTACAATAAAATTTACTGTCACCGAGATGTAACGTGTCAATTACAAACTTTCTTTAAAAAGTAATGGATTACAAGTTATCATTTACTTGCAACGGATTACTTCCCAAGTCTGTTTAAGGCCGGCAGTGGTTTGGCCCAGCGGCCAACCCTAGCCACTCTAGCCAACCGTGGCCAGGTGGCACAGGCGATTCGTATCATTTGTCTGTATCCATCCAAGAACTCTATATGCCATACTATTGCGAGAGTGCTTTTGAAGTACTTTGAGACATCAGGATGGCAGCACAATGTTTCTGGCTTAAAACTGTGCTGCGGCAAACATTGTGAAAATGTCTTGCTGGACATTTAGGAGCACTACTCGCAACAATGTTACGACACTTCTTTTTTTTTTGCGGCACAGTTTATCAGTTTAACCATTGATCAGTTGATGCTTTGGTCCTCTCTTGCGTGTTTTGATTGCTGCCACCTTTTCAAATAAGCCATCCCCATCATCAAATAAGTAAGGATATTTGTAAGCAAGATGAACAGGTGAGGAAGTGGGAAAGAGGAAGATGCTTGTAACCTTTCTATCAGTGTGAGCATGATCCGAATTGCTGTTTCGATCAGATTTGTCACCTTCTTTCATCTTCAAAGAATGTCTGTGGATATAACTTTTGCTGTCCAACTTCTTTGGCTTGCTATTCTGGGTATTATGACGTGTTGATTTGTTTTTGCGTGAAATCTTTAGCTGTGCTTCTTTTAACTGCAGGGGACTGAAGACCAAGACGACCACAACATCGCCCAAGACAGACGTAAAGACCGCATTCTGTGTCCAAGCTGGTCATGCCAACGCCTTCAAAACAAAACCTGCAACACCCAACAGTGATGCCATCAACTCCTCCGATGAGATCAGACCGTCCCCGGCGAGTCGTGAAAGTGCACCGACCCTGGTCTCCAACAGTCAGTCAGCCTTCAAGAACAAAGGCCATCAAAAAGGAGGCAACCCCAGTGGAGGAAACTACAGACAATAGTGCAGATGATGATGTTGGTTGCAATGATCATGATAAATTTCTTGGTATAGAGTACAATGATGGCATCAACGACTTCATTTTGTCTATAACAGAGGAAGTTGCTCGTAAACGCAAATCGTTCTCAATCAAGGAAAAGCTAGACATTCTCAAAGAAGTCGAGAAAGGCAGCAAAAGGGTTGACATTTGTCGGAAGTACGGCATCTCGGCTTCAACCTTGTCCACGTTCGTTAAACACAGAGATGCCTTCGTGACTGCTTCCCGTCAGAACCTTTCCGAGCTTAAGAGGTTACGCGGAGCTAGGCGATTACGGCGATATTCGAGACCGGAAAAATCAGTGTCCCCGACTGCCAGTGAGTCTTCAGATTTGGTAGTCATCAAGCAGGAGGCAAAAACAGAAGCCTTAGACGGTGCTATTGACAGTGATGTCGATGATCAGTCAGCTGTTCTTGCAGGAGGCATAGACGATGCTATTGATGATGTTGTCGATGATCAAGCTACTGGTGTTCTTGCAGGAGCCATAGGTGGTGACGATAATGTTAATGATGAAGCTACTTGCCTTCTTGCACAAAACGCCATAGATGATGCTGTTGACGAGGATGTCGATGATAAAGCTACTGGCCTCCGTGAAAACGAATGCAATGACGTCACGGATGACGCCATTTTGCCTACGGCAGATGAAGTCATTGGACGAGTCATTCGCAAACGCAAGTCATTCTCGGTCAAGGAGAAGCTGGCCGTTCTCGCTGAAGTTGAGACTGGCCGGAAGAAGGTGGACATCTGCCGGGAATACGACATCTCGATGTCAACTTTGTCGTCGTTCATGAATCACAAAGACGTCTACAGGACCGCTTTCCAGGAAAGCCGCTGCAAGGCGAGGAAATTGCGTCGATCGAACGCAGAAGACCTGAGCCGCGCGTTGCTCCGTTGGTACCATCAGTCCAGTGCCTTGGGAATCCCGATTAATGGTCCTCTTCTGCGGAACAAAGCCCAACACCTTGCCAGATGCCTCGGCTACCAAGACTTTACTGTCTCTACTTCCTGGATTCATCGTTTCAGGAGAAGGCATTGCCTGAACGAACATGATCAGCAGTACAAGAACGCTCGACAGGACCTTTCCGACGCAGACGCTTGGCTGACCACGTCATGGCCTCTGATCTCCTCCGGTTACTCTCCATGGGACATCTTCAGCGCTGTTGAGGTTGGGATCCTCTTTAGAGTTCTTCCCGGCAATGCCCGTCAATTTCGTGGCTCCATCTGTGAGCAAGGCCAGTGTGCCGACGAGAGGCTCACTGTGTTCCTCTGTGCGAACATGGCCGGAGATGAGAAGAGGCCACTGCTTGCCGTAGGGTGTGGACCCTTGTCGAATCCAGCCGCTGCGTCCAGCGTAAGATACGGCTTCAATGAAAGGGCCTGGATGACTCGAGATATTTTTGTCGAAGAACTGAAGCGTTGGGACTGCGAGCTGGACGCGCGGAAGCGGAAGATACTTCTACTCGTCGACCATTGTCCCTGCCACCTTGTCAGCGGAAAAGTCGACTTGCGCAACATCGAGGTCGTCTATCCACCACCCAACAAAGGAGGAAATCTGCTGCCTCTCGATCACGGCGTCGTTCAAGTCTTCAAGAGACGCTACCGGAAGGTTCTCCTGGTCCACTCTGTGCTTCAAAAGGTACCGAGGCCGCCACCGCTCGAGGAGGCGCTCCGACTCCTGAACTCAGCTTGGAAAAAGGTGAAAGGTCTGACGGTTCGGCTCGCCTTCGCGGCGTGTGGTCTTCACAGCGACAGCACTTTTGACGACTGCGCCGACGACTCGGACAACATCCCACTCGAAGAGTGGGCTTCCCGATTCAATTTGAGGGAGGATTTAGTGAGCGGGATTTGGGAGTATGACTGCATCGATGATTTTCTTGTGACGTCTGGGAAGCTTGAAGCCGAGGGACTCCACGCATACCCTGGTGCTGTTGCCGCGGATGTCTCTGCGAGTTCGGAAGAACAGCCATCATTTTCCCTCGGTGCCTTGGATGCCGTGGGTGTGCTGATGGAGTTTTGTGAAAAGTCGGCGTCCTTGTCGTCGGCAGGGGACGGCAGTGTAATGGAAGCTTTGGTAGAACTGCGAACAAGTATCGAAGCGATCGCATTTCAGAGCAATTACGGAGTGAAGAGTGAATGACTCGTGCGGGTCACATGTGATAGTGCGAGCTGAAAGCGTTGATGCCTCTTCGCAAAAAAAAAAAAAATTAAATGTTAATTTAGTTGTCGATGTATTTATTCGCTGTAAAAAATGTTTTCATGTCTTTTTTTTTTTTTTGTTGTCAAATTTAGTCTAAACGGGCGTTTTGGACTCTATAAGTCGATTTTGTTTTCCCTTCTGAACCATCTTTTCTTGTTTGTTTCTATGTATTCTTTGGGGCTTTATCAATTCCACCTTTGGTATTTCAGTAAATTTAGACGCCTGTTCATCTCGTGCTAAGACGGTTTTAATAAAGTTGTAATGCTATAGGCTGTGCTTTTTTTGACCCTTTGAATCGCAGTGACTCTCGCATATTGATGTACTGGAATGTTATATAAATGAAAAAAAATGAGAATTTATGTTATAAAACGTCCCACCCTTTCATGCCATTCCTTCAGTTGAAAATGAACTACACAAATCGCGTTAGACGCAAGAAAGCATGATTTGAATATATGCGCTCTAATAAAAAGAAAAATGACAAAGATGTGACTGCTGTAATCCAACCTCATATAGATTTTATGAAACGAAAAAGAAAATTTAACTGTTGGCAATAGAAGTGCAACACAGCCAAAAAGAAAAAGGAAGAGAATACCGGCGATGTTAATGAAATAGCTTTAGATTATATAAAAAGAATGGCACGAATACGAGAAAAGAAACGCCTGAAAGGTCAACCAAAACGAAGACGAGTTGAAATTGTTGGTACACGCTCCTTTGCTTTCTCCGACGACAAACCGTTTTCTCATAGTCGGAACTCGTGTTTGTTTTCAGATTACACACGGTGAGGTGACTTCTCCGCTCGAGATTGGAAAGGCGAACTTGAGGTAGATTAAAAAAGGGGGCAGCAGAGGGAGCTCTGTCGGTAAGACGAGACCTGCCCCCGAAAAGCAATCTTCTTTCGCGCAAAGCAAATGAAGACATCGCAAAGACGAGAGCCCGTTGAAGATTCAAGTAATATATTCTACAGGCCAAACTAGCACTAGTGCTAGTGTGCGGTTTCAAATTAAAGCAGACGGCAACCAGTCTAGAATTGACTTCCGGTAATGCATTTCCATAAGCAAAAGTGAATGCATTTTCTCTCTGCTTGATCATGAGAGCGAATATGGGGAATAATTCATACTAGTTACCTTGAAACTTTTTTCAGGCACATAAAAGAATATATTGGTGAGTTACAGCATTTTAGAGCGCAGCTCTTAGGCGCCCGTTTCCGCCTTGAGCGGCGTGGGCGTAACCGCGCGGGTTGCATTATGGGACGTTTTTTATAATGACAACACCGCGCGTTGTATTATGGGTAAATTTCCCCGCTAAATTTATCAAAAAAATTCCCCGCTAAATTTAGCGAAAAAATTCCCCGCTAAATTTAGCGGAAAAAATGTTCCCGCTACATTAACCGGGAAATTTAGCGAAAATTTCCTGCTAAATGGGAGAGGAGCAGGTGAGGGAGGTACGGATGAGGAGGGGCATACCCTCCTCTCCATTCCTTCCCCTCCTCCTCAAGAGCTGCGCTCTAATTCGGCGTTACAGGGTGTTGTAAGCGCTTCTTTCATCTTTTTTTTTTCTATCAAATTCAGAGCATTTATTTAGGTGCTAAAATGGCTTCGTACAGGTATTTATGTATACACTGTCCGGCACTGTGAGCGCGAACGCTGCATCGGCGCTATTCTGCTGGGATGTTTACGTGCCAAAGCATTGAAGATCTCGAAAATCAAGTGACGCCAAAAACAACGCACTCACACTGGGTCTGTACCTAGCTGCACATGTAAACGATCAAAATAAAGTAATGTGTGTCATTTGCGATAAATGTTTTATTCAGTTTGCTGCTCATGTATGGGTGCAAAGGTAAGTTTGTTCTAGCGTTGAAAACTGCATGCTCGAAAACTTTTAAAATGGGGAAAACCCTGAAAAATCTTATTGCCCGATAAATTCAAAACAATAATAAAAAGAAACACCTTTTATAATGCGCCATGCTTTTACTATTACGTGTTTTAGCTGGTTCGTAGGTGTGGGTCGTTTTAATAGCCTGTAAATCTCGCAGGTAATCAATATTAGCGTTATCGGGATGTTGGCGCTCTTAACAAGTTCTGCATTCTTTTCGACTTAATTTTGCTTAGATTCGCCGCTTGTCTTTGCACACCTGCTGTGGAACATGGGACTGGGTCCGGACTAGGAATTTAAACATTGCTGTTTGGTCGGAAATATACTGTAACTAAAAAAAAATCACTGTTAAAATGTTAATAAAGTTACCTACTATTCGCTATGATCCAAGTAACAAAGTGTATTTCCTGTTATTCTCTGGCGAAGAGAAAATGCACGCCCGTTTACAGAAGCACAGCAAAAGTAAAGTGGATGCTCTCTGTTTCAATTTCAAACCGAAAGTCCCATAGACACCACTGTACCGTTCACTAGTGCTAGCTGAACTTCTAGCCTACATTATAATAACTCATTGAAGGCCACAAGACAACTGTCGCTGCAGCGCGAGCGCGGCCACCCAAATAAAGGCCTTACACCCATAGTTTCATATCGGCCATCTTGAATGTACCGGAAGTGGGGTGACCATATTCCTGAAGGTAGAAAACGGGACATCCCAACAAGGGGGGGGGGGGGGGGGGGGGGGGGGGGGGGAGGGGGGGGGGGGGGGCGGCTGGAGTGGGTGGTTTAAAGGTTGAGATTGGGAGCAACAATTTAATGAAATGACATTTCAAAACGTTACCATGTGGCACTCTAAGCCCTTGGGCCTAGAAAACAGTGACACTCACAGTTCAGCTGCATGCACTCATTTGGTTTCAAAGCGAGTTTTGGTTTGCTTCAACTCGCTCGGTGCCGATTTCGAAACTATGTAGTCCTACAAGAACGGGACATGATTCTTTATTGAGACAAAAAGGCAGGACGGCAGAACCGGACCTCGAAAACGGGATTGTCCAGGCCAAAACAAGACGTCTAGTCGCCCTAACCAGAAGTCGACCTTTTGGAGCGTTGCAGAGGTTGGGCCGCAGCGTCCTGCAAATACGTGTTCTGCTCGTTCGCCGCCATTTGCCGAAGAAGCTTTTTTAAACCTTGTGTGTATGGTCGTAGTCACCTTTGACAACACGTGAAAAGTTTTACAAAAGTGCGTCGTGCCCAATTCTCGCGGCGTCCTCGGAGCACAATTGGCACGCCGAAGTGCTGCGTCTCTGCCTTCACGCGCTTGAAAAACCTCTGACAAGCAAGAAAAAAAAATTTTTTTTTCATGCTAGGTGTTGAAATGGCATGTCAGGACATTACAAAAAAAAAAAATTTTTCACTGTAAAGGTGCGTAGTTTTTTTTTTGTTTTTTTTAAATAAAAAAATAGAAATAGGAGTCCCGTTTCAAAGTTTCCGCCAGTGCACTGTGACGAAACAGTGTACCGCAAGGTACACTGTTACGTCAGCTGCTCGAAAGTTTTTGCCTTGCAAGGCAAAAACTGTCGAGCAGCTGAGCCGGACGAGCGCACGAAAATGGGGGAGAGGGTATCGCCCTGGCTAGCTTGCGAGGCTGCTCCTTTCTCGTCCCTCTCCTTTGTACCGGCTCCGTCGTCTGCTACACCAACTCTTTGTGGAGCCTATAGTCGAACCCTGCCTTGGTTGCGGTGCAAAATAAGTAGATTCGAAGCCACTGCGAGACGTGAAGATTTGTAAAGTTCTGTCCAATGGCACAACGCAGACAAGGGTCTACCCGGGTACCACAGGCATAGCACACTATGCCACAACTGCAGCAGTCGTTGGCGGTAAGCCGCCAACGACGTACGACGTTCCAGCGAATGGCCGGAGTGGCGGACGGCTACGGCTGCTGACAGTTACTGCCGCGACTCACGCGCAGTCGCGGAAACGCAACGAGAAAGCACGTCATCTGTACCGAGAGTTCCCAACATCCTCGGCCGTCGTGGCGCTGTGCATATTGGAACAGGTCTATCGTCATAGAGATCAGTGATTTCACCTCAAGAACCGTACTAAAAAAAGAAGGCCTGCTCGTCGCGGAGCATTACTAATGTTCCCCTTTATGTGGAGCATTAAGATATATCTATTTGAATTTTAGATTAGATATGTGTTATCTTATCAAGACGTATACATTTCAAACGCCAAAGGCATCGCTTCTTCTTACGACAACCAAATCGTGTAAGAACTTCTTCGCGCTGCTCATGAACAACGTGCCAAGCTTCCTTTTCACTGCTCTTGATTGTAGTAGGCTGGATCGCATATCGAGGCTTGTCTTGCTGGGGTCGAGCGGCACCACCGGCAGCCGTCATTTGACACCAGCTAATGCATGGGGCTCTATGGAAGAAACGGGGAAAAGTGAAATTTTTTTTTTTTTTTTTTTTTTTTTACATTAGTAGGTTGATTTTGACCGTGAAACTATTATCGTGTTTTCCGGGAATGACAGTTACTATTCTGGGTGCGAATATCAAATGCGTTAGAATAACAATTGTTTTTAAATTAAAGGAAGACTCATTGGTAGATAAGGAACGCGTTAGCATGACCCTTGGGAAACGCCACCGGGAAACGCTAACGCCGACGCCATCACTTTTCTGTTTTGGCTTTCTCTTCGACTTTCTCTTTTGCTTCCTCTGCTTGGCTTTGTTGCGGGACCAGTGTTAGCGCTTCCCAAAGGGGGAGGACGTTTGGGTGTTTCCCTAGGGTCATGCTACCGCATTCCCTAAGGATTCAACCAGTGGATCTTCCTTTAATTTTTTACGCCGACTTGAACCTGCGCTAGTACTTGGTTCACACTCCACTTTGTAGCAAAATCCAAGGCATACGCGCTCCGCACACATGCAAGTTTAGACTTGTTCCAGCATCTGCGCGCGTATTGGCTTCCGCCTTGTGACGTTACCGTCGTCTTGCCTTTGTTTTTCAATCTCCTCTTCTCTTTGCGGTGCGCTTCCCTTTTCACTGTTTTGTCTACAGACGGACGCCGTCAGCTTTTCTCTGTCATGTGGATTATTAATTTGTTTGTGGTTGAGGATCGAGGGTTGCGACTTTGTTGGGCGTAAACTGTGACGCGGTTCAATTAGACAAGGGTTGCCGAGAGTCAACGTGGAGTCATTTGTGATCTGGAATTCACCAGAGCTTAGCAGGCGATAAGTTAGAAAGCCTTTAAGGGGCATTCACACGAGGGAGAAATCCCGGGGATTTCTCCCCGGCACGCGCATCCCACGACGAAAACGTCAGGCTTTGCGATGTGCAAAAGCCTCGCGTTTTCATCTCGTGATTCGTGCGTGCCGGGGAGAAATCCCCGGGATTTCTCCCTCGTGTGA